TCAAATTAGTTTTCCCCCCAAATCCCCTCAAATCCTGAAATTAATTTCAGGTTTTTGAATTAAACTCCCCTCCCTCTCTCTCCTATACCGCCGGCCCCATGTTTTGAGCCCCTCTCTTTAATTCGCATTCAATGCCCACTACAGGAAAAACCGTTATTACCGGCGGACCAAATCCGCCGGAACACATAGATAATCCGACGGAACCATAGGTTTTCGGCGCACGTTTCGGCATAAATTCATACGCCGGTTTCGGTCGCGTCGATAAATTTTTTCCGACGAATGTAATACGCCGGAAAACGTTCTGGCGCACGTACCGACGTCTTACCGGCGTAAAACATCGGGTTGGTGCCGACGACTTGCAACCGATAAATTCCGACGCCATATGCGACTGTAAGTTTCTGTCGGATTGTCCGCCGGTAAGTACCGGCGGATAAAACGCTGCAAGTTCGTCGTAGACAACCCACGGCTTTGTTTGCGGCGCAAAATCGGCGTCGGAAAGAAGCGGCAGAACTGGCGCCGGAAGATGCGCCGGTAGTTGCCGACGGAAGGAAGATGTCGATACGTTTGAAGAATGGAATTTGCTGCTCCATAAGAAGAAAATTCTCCACATTTAACTTAGAAGAGCATAAATTTTTTAAGAAGACACTTAGCTCGATCAGGGGCTTTAAAATCTGATCTGGAAGATAACTAAAAGCAGTGGATAGTAAACATTGCATGAAGATGTGACAATCATGACTTTTCAATCCAAATAATCTCCCTGATCTTATGTCAACACACCTGCTTAGATTGGAAGAATATCCATCAGGTACTCGTAGAGTCTTCACCCATTCACAAATTGCTCGTTTTTGCTCTAAAGTTAATGTGAATGAAGCTTTTGGTTTGAGAAATTTTCCCGCTCCACCATCCTTCAATTCCAAAGCTTTCCTTCTACAAATCTCCTTTAAGTCAATCATTGCTTTTATATTATCTTTCGATTTCTCTTTGATGTCCATAACTGTATAGAAAATATTATCAAAAACATTTTTCTCTATATGCATAACATCCAAGTTATGTCTAATCAAGTTTGTTCTCCAATATGGCAACGACCAAAAAATACTTTTCTTGGTCCAATTATGGTTGACACCATATTCTGGCAATCTGAACTCAGCTAATGTTGGAGATTCCATTATGGTGGGCAAGAACTCTACTCTTTCAAAAATTTCTTCACTACTAAA